ATTTTAAGTCTGTTTGGCTTGTTTTCTTGCTATTGAGTTGTTTGAGCTGCTTGTATAATTTCAATAGTAATCTTTTATTGGAGTATGGCTTAACTGGCTATGCCTCAACACCAGCCCACCCAAAGAGGGCATTCTTATATGGTGTTGGTAAGACCTGCTATTAACATTTTGAAATAATTTTAAAAATAAAAATGAAAATCCCAGCAATCCCATTTATTATCTATCCTATAATTATAAAATCTTGAGGAGCATAGGGATATAAATAAAAAGATGCCATTTTCAGAATTATTTACAACATCAAAAAATGCAGAAATAATCCAAATGTTCTTTAATAGGTAAATAATAAAATGAATTATTCCTATTATAGGATGTTAGGTAGCTATTAATAAGACTAAGCTAGGGACTTCTTATTCTAACAGCAACAGAATGCCTTGTAACAAACCAAAGTTTTGGCCAAAGGGAAATTAGAAAAGGTGGATATAATAAAGACTATCTATTCAAAGGTTCTGTGAGTTACTAAGTCAGCAACTACTGGACAAGCCAAAAGTCCCAGCAAGAAAAGGAAAATTCAGGTGAAGCTGACCTGTGTGTTGCTCTTCCCATCAAGTAATTTTCTGAACTTTAAGCAATGAGGAGCAAGAGACTGAAAATACATAATACTTGGGGCCAGCATTGTTGTGTAGCAAGTGAAGCCACCACTTACGATGCTGACATCCCATGTGGGAGTGCTAATTCAAGTCTCAGCTGCTGTATTTTTTTTTTAAAGATGCATGTATTTATTTGAAAGGCAGAGTTACAGAGAGGCAGAGACAGAAAGAGAGAGAGGTCTTCCATTGGCTGGTTCACTCCCCAAGTAGCTGCAACAGCTGGAGCTGCACCAATCTGAAGCCAGGAGTCAGGAGCTTCTTCAGGTCTCCCATGGGGTGCAGGGGCCCAAGAACGTGGGCCATCTTCTACTGCTTCCCCAGGCCATAGCAGAGGGCTGGATCAGAAGTGGAGCAGCCACTGGCACTGTAAGCAGCAGCTTTACCCACTAACGCCACAGCCCTGGCCCCTCAGCCACTCCATTTCTGACGTGGCTTCCTGCTAATACATCTGAGAGGGAAAAGGATCAAAAAGCAAGAACCTGGTATATACTGTCTACAACAAGAGGTGTAAATACAAATTTCAAATAGCTTGAAAAAAAATGGGAACAAAAAGATATACCAAGTCAACAGCAAGAAAGCTGGAATGGCTATCTTAATGCAACACCAAACAAAAAAGACACAAAAGTACTACTAGTCACAAAGAGGACTACTTCCCTCAATTTACCAACTGTGATAAGTGAATTCAGTAAGAGGATAAAAGAAATCCCAAATTTGTATGCAACTAACACAAAGCTTTAAAATATACGAAGCAAAAACTAACAGAACTGACAGGAAAATCACACAAATTGACAATTACAGTTAGAGATTTCAAAACTCCTGTCTTACTAACAGACAAATAGAAAAAGATTTGAAGGCTGTAGATCGGCATAACACTATAACCAGCTGAACCTAATCAGTACTTAAGGAAACACACTTAACAACTATGGAATACCTGTTTTTCTCAAGCGATGGGACATTCACTAAGACAGAAAAAATGCTGTTCTTGCAATCCAGCTCTGGGCTTATGCACTTTGGAAAGCAGTGGAAGATGACCCAAGTACTTGGGCCCCTGCCACTCTTGTGGGAGACCTCATTAGAGTTCCAGGCTCCTGGCTTTGGCCAAGCCCAGCCCCAGCTGTTTCAGCCACTTGGAGAGTAAACCAGCAGATAGAAGATCTCTTTCTGTCTCTCTCTGTCTCTCCCTTCCTCTGCCACTGTCTTTCAAATAAGTAAAACAAATCTTAAAAAAAAAAAAAAGGCAAACAATTAAATTTAAAAATGTGCATGTATCTAAACAATTCACAAAAGGAAGATAGATGATTGGGCAAACTCACACATAAAAATATGCTCCGCCGGCACCACGGCTCACTAGGCTAATCTTACTCTGCCTTGCGGCGCCGGCACATGGGTTCTAGTCCCGATCAGGGCGCCGGATTCTGTCCCGGCTGCCCCTCTTCCAGGCCAGCTCTCTGCTGTGGCCAGGGAGTGCAGTGGAAGATGGCCCAAGTGCTTGGGCCCTGCACCCCATGGGAGACCAGGATGAGTACCTGGCTCCTGCCTTCGGATCAGCACGGTGCACCGGCCGCGGTGGCCATTGGAGGGTGAACCAACGGCAAAAGGAAGACCTTTCTCTCTGTCTCTCTCTCACTGTCCACTCTGCCTGTCAAAAAAAAAAAAAAAAAGAGAGAGAGACCAATGAAGACTCAAAGTTTGAAAATAAGAAGTTGGAAAATCTGAACCATGAAAACAACAACCAAAAAAAAGCTGGGATAATAATACTGATTAAAGAGAAAGTGGACATTAGGCAAGAAGCATTACTACACACAAAGAAGGATTTTATATTGATAACAAAATCCATCTACCAGGAAGATCTCACAGTCCTGGATATATAGCTAAAAAGTTTTAAGATACACAAAGCAAAAATTGCTAAAACTAAAAGGAGAAATTGAGAAATTCACAATCATAATGAAAAAGTGACACACTTCTCTCAATAACTAGAAAAAGGTGGGAAAATTCAACAAGGATAACAGAAGACCTGAAACAATAAAATTAACAAACTTGACAAAACTGACATAGGTAGAACACTGCACTCACAATGACAGAATCCACTTTCAAGGGCATACCATTTTAACAAATGACCACAAGCTCAGTCATAAAGCAAGGTCTAACAATTTTCAAATAATTTTAACCACTCTGTATATTTTCCAATCAGAGTATCATCCAGTGTTCAAAAAATTCAAGCAATACACTTGCTCAATATCAATTTTTGTACTGAAGTTCCTGGCTATTGAAATATGGGGGGGGGGGGGTGGTTTCTGTGTATAGACTGGAAAGGAAGAAACAAAGGTTCTGGATATAAAGTTAGTCATAAAAATCCTACTGCCATATATATAAGCAATTAATTTTTAAAATGACACCATATCACAAAAAAAAAAAAAAACAAAAATATCACTCAACGATAAATTCAACAAAAGGTATGTAAGTGCTATATACAAAAAAAAACTTCAAGGCCGGCGCCACGGTTCACTAGGCTAATCCTCTGCCTGCGGTGCAGGCACCCCGGGTTCTAGTCCCAGTTTGGGTGCTGGTTCTGTCCCTGTTGCTCCTCTTCCAGGCCAGCTCTCTGCTGTGGCCCAGGAAGGCAGTGGAGGATGGCCCAAGTGCTTGGGTCCTGCACCCGCATGGGAGACCAGGAGGAAGCACCTGGCTCCTGGCTTCGGGTCAGTGCTGCCGTAGAAGCCATTTGGGGGGGTGAACCAACGGAAGGAAGACCTTTCTCTCTGTCTCTCTCTCTCACTGTCTAACTCTGCCTGTCAGGAAAAAAAAAAAAAACTTCAAAAATATTATTGAGAAAAATTAAAGGATCACTAAATAAATAGACAAACACATCACATTCGTAGATGGAAAGATAGTATATTATACACCAGTAAACTGTCCCTAAATCAATGTATAAATGCAATGTAGTCCACTCAAAACCCCAGGCATATTTTTGAATAGGTGTGTAATTTAATAAGCTGATCTTAAAATTTATATAGAAATGTAAAGATTCAGAAACAGCCAAGTCAGTCTTTCAGAGCAGCAGCACAGGAGGATAGATGCTGTCAGACATCGACACTCACTACAGAGCTACAGAGACACGCGGCATTGGCTAAGGCAACACTGGAAGAAAACAGTGAATACAGAAATGGACTGTGCTACACACTCCGGCCTTCACGGCAAAGAGATACTGAGAGGTGGTACAGAAAAGACCGTTCTTTTCAATACATGATACTGTACTTATTCACAATCTATCCACATGCAAAATACATTATCTGGACTGCTACTGCATACTACATATAAAAAAGTAAAACACTACAGTTTCTTGGAAATATAGCAGGAAAATTTCACCAAAACACAGAAAACCTGACAGACTGTAATACATTACAATTGGGAAATTCTTCACACAGCTAAGCTATGGTCCCTCATCTGAGAGCCTTTTAATGTATGCAGTCTGATAATTCACTTAATTCTACTAATTTAACATGCAAGGAACCACTTTTGCTTTTGTGGCTGAGTAATGTCTTGATTTATGAAATTAAATCCATAAAATTTACAATGAGAAATTCAAATAATACTGATTTTTAATAATTAATAACTGCTAGAAACTCAACAAAGAATCAAATAAGATTTGGATTTAATAGTGAAGTGGCACTGTTTATATTCATTTTTTTTAAATGTAGTTCCATTTCCAATGTTAAACCCTACTAATAATACTCAGTTGTCACACAAGATTAGAAACAGCAGCCAGGTGTGAAGTGCCTAGTTAAACCCACCTGAATGACTATGCTTCTATCATTTCTTTAAACTCAGTTGTTTAGTCTTTGTCACAATAGAATCAACCTCTCTCCAGGGAGAGAGAACAGCTACACATCATCTTACTTAATCAGAGACACAAGGGAGAGGAACAAAATAAAAACAGCACAGCCTTTCCTGAGGACAAAAGTGGATGGGGAGGCCATCACATATTCATACTTTTTTTAATTTCAATATAATATTTCATGATTATACATATGATATATCACTATATATCTCAAAAAATTCTTTCCAATGAAATATTAGGACTTTTAATATAACCTGATAATTACAGTCCTATAATCTTATGTATTCCAAGGCATAACACAGCCTCATATATAAAAAGAAGCTGAATGAGCATCTTTAATTATGCATCTGTCAATGTCCAGAATTTTCAAATTTCTATAGATTAATGAAAATTTTCTAAAAGGTTTATACAGTCCAACTCTCATTCTCTGCCCATGCCAAACATCATTAGTACAACATATATTGACCTGCACCTTGTCAAGGCTGCTATGTATTCTCAACTACTAAACACTTTACCTTTGCAGCAAGTTGTAGTCCAATTTTGTCAGCTTCAGCCTCCAGTGTTCTACTGTATGGTCTATCAAATATATACTAAGGAGAAACAAGATAGAAAAAACTACATTAATGCATTTATTTTATGATAAAAAGGAGTTCAGAAAATTTAATTTTTAAAAATTACTTTCATGGACTATGTAGGATACAATTTTTATACTGTTGATGATTAACATGTAAAGAACAATGAAGAAACACATCTTTCATTTCCTTAACTAGAGATTAATATTTTAAAAACAAGGAAAGAATCAAAAAAGTCCTGTCTAAAAACTTCTGGACAGTCTGTAGTATCATAAGTAGTTCACTTTTTTTTTATATATATATTGATTTAGTTACTTGAAAGTCAGAGTTAGAGAGAGGAAGAGACAAAGAGATCTTCCATCTACTGGTTCACTCCTCAGAGGCCTATAACAGCCAGAGCTGGGCCAGGCCAAACCAGGAATCAGGAGCTTCATACACGTCTCCCAAGTGGGTGGCAGGGGCCCAAAGACTTGGGCCATCTCTTCTGCTGCTTTTTCTGGGCCATCAGCAGGGAGCTGGATTTGAAGTAGAGCAGCTGGGACAGGAACTGGCACCATTATGGAATGCTGGTGCCACCACTGGTGGCTTTACCTACCATGCCACAATCCTGGCCCCCGATCACTTCTATTTTTCCAATTTAATCTCCAACTACTGAGTAAGGAATCTGTAAGAATGCTTACTGATGCAGGCTCTTAATCTGGCTGAGGAACACTTTGATCTCGCAGGTATTTAAAAAAAACATTTATTTTATTTATTTGAAAGACAGAGCTATAGAGCGAGGCAGAGACAGAGAGAGAGGTCCTCCATCTGCCGGTTCACTCCCCAGATGGCCCCAAAAGCCAGAACTGAGCCAATCCGAAGTCAGGAGGAGCCTCTTCCAGGTCTCCCACGCGGGTACAGTGGCCCAAAGACTTGGGCCATCCTCCACTGCTTTCTGAGGCCACAGCAGAGAGCTCGATCAGAAAAGGAGCAGCCAGGACTAGAATTGGCGCCCACATGAGATGCCAGTGCTTCAGGGCAGGGATTTAACTCGCTGTGCCACAGAGCCAGCCCTGATCTTGCAGTTTTAAAACAAAATTGAAAAAACACAGGTATATAATAGCCAGTGACACTACTAAAGGATCTATTTCGGTAAATTAACCACATAGCAGAATGTATTTTCTTTGAAAAATTATCATAATTTCTCTTTCCTTTTCTAAGTATTGATTAGCTAGGAAAATGAAATTTTCTTCTGACTTCAATACAAAGTAATACAAATAGATATCATAACTCCAACTTTCCTAATTACTTGTATTTATGTGAATGCTTTCCAGTTAAATTTTAATTTTCGGTAAGTACTAAAACTTTGTAGAAGATGGATCAATAGGTGGGATGTTTGAGAAAAGGGATACTAATTAAGGATCGAATTTTTCAAAGGTAGCTAAGGTCTATGATGAGTATCTCACACTCTGATCCACAATACATGACCATGAGATATGATGACTTTCTTCCTTCTCAATCATGCTTGTTCTAGGTTGATGAACTCCATCACACAGTGTCTTCATTTTCCAAGAGCAGTCTGCCTATGCCCCATCAATTCTACTGATAATACACGGACTGACAACATTGACTTTTAAACTTGAGTTCAAGTCCAAATGCTGGCACTTATTCATTGTTAACTCTGGAGTATTTAACCCCTCTAAAATGGAGCTAGTGATAGTGTCATCTTCCTAGAGTTGCAAAGAGGAATAAGTGGAAAAAAAGAAAAAGAAAAAGAGGGGCCAGTCTTGTGGTATGGCAGGTTAAGCCGCTGCTTTGCACCCCAGCATCCAATACTGAGTGTCAGTTCAAGTCTCAGCTTCTCTGCTTCCAGTCCAGCTCCTTGCTGATGTACCAGGGAAGGAATGGAAAGACAGTGCAAGCACCTGTGCTCTTGCCACTTGTGAGGGAAACCAGCAGTTTCTGGCTCTTGGTTTCAGCCTGGTCCAGATCTGTATTTTGAGGCCATTTGAGGGAGTGAACCAGTGGGTGGAAGATCTCTCTCTTTCAAATACATAAATAAAAGAAAGAATGAAAGAAAGAAGAAGGGGGGGGGGATGGGAAGGAAGAAGGAGAGGGGAAAGGGGAAGGAGAGAGGAAGAATGAGAAGAGGAGGAGGAACTCATATTTACTGAGTTCTTTGTGCCAGGTACTGTGCTCAATGCTTTAAATCAGTGGTTCTCAACCCAATGTGATGGTCTCTCCCGGGAATATTTGTAAATATTTAGAGGGTTTTTTTTTAAGATTTATTTATGTATGTATGCATGTATTTGAAAGGCAGAGCACGGGGAGGAATGGGGCAGAGAAGGGGTCTTCCACCTGATGGTTCACTTTCCAATTAGCCACAACAGCCAGAGTTGGGCCAGGCCAAAACCAGGAGCCCCAAACTCCATCTGGGGTTGGAAATACTTTGGATTGTGGCGACTCTGATGGAAGAAGGCGGAGGAGCCATTGGCATCCAGGTAGTAAAGATAATATATTCCACTGAACATCCTTCAGTGCACAAGACCCCCCACAGCAAAGAAGTATCCAGTCCTAAACATCAAGAGTGCTGAAATTGGGGTGGTGCTGTGGCATAGCGGGTAAAGCCACTGCCTGTAGTGCCAGCATCCCATATGGGCACTGGTTTGAGTCTTGGCTGCTCCACTTTTTTTTTTTTTTTTTTGACAGGCAGAGTGGACAGTGAGAGAGAGAGACAGAGGGAAAGGTCTTCCTTTTGCCATTGGTTCACCCTCCAATGGCCGCTACAGCTGGCACACTGTGGCCGGTGCATCGCGCCGACCTGAAGCCAGGAGCCAGGTCTCCCATGCAGGTGCAGGGCCCAAGGACCTGGGCCATCCTCCACCGCACCCCCGGGCCACAGCAGAGGGCTGGCCTGGAAGAGGGGCAACCGGGACAGAATCTGGCACCCCGACCGGGACTAGAACCCGGTGTGCCAGCGCCGCAAGGCGAAGGATTAGTCTATTGAGCCGCAGGGCCAGCCAGCTGCTCCACTTTTGATACAGCTCCTTGCTATGGCTTGGGAAAGCAGTAGAAGATGGCCCAAATCCTTGGGCCCCTGCACTCATGTGTGAGATCTGGAAGAAGCTCCAGCAGTTGCGGTCATTTGGGGTGTGAACCAGCAGATGGAAGAAGTCTCTCACTCTTTCTCTCTGCCTCTCTGTAACTGTCTTTCAAATAAATAAATAAATCTTAAAAAAAAAAAAAGAATGTTGAGATTGAGAAACTCTGCCTTAAATTTGTCATTTGGTCCTTAAATAAGTGAATGAATAACGACTGAATGTCAGCATTTCCCACTCCCCAGTGACTTCCCTATCAACACAATCACAGTAACCAGGCTTTCCAGAGAGAAAAGCATCTCCTTGTCACCACAATTATTCAGGGGCCTTGAGTTAGAGGAAAAGAATTCAAACAGAAGTCACCCCAATTTGATTTTCAATTTAGTTAAGTTGAAGAATTAACACTGAAGTGGTAGGATTCATCAAGTATTTCAAAGGAGAAACAGCTGAAAGTTATCTTTATTATGTCCAAATCTTCTGATTTCTTTACAGATAGGAGAGGAAAAATGGCATTACCTCCTCTGCCTTTCCAGCAAGTCGGTGACAGAAACAAAATTCAAAATAGGAAGCCCTATATAACCACCTTCTTTTCCTCTTTAAGAATCTTACTTCAATTCAAATGAAGTCAAATGATATGGTAACACTGAATAAAAGACTCAATTACCCAACTTCAAGAGCAATTTGTTTCAAAGAATTTTACACATTAGATGTAAACAGCACCCAGATGGCACTCTGATGGGTGTTCCACAAATCATTAAATAAACAAATAACAGATTGTTCCTAAATAACCAAACCTCCCAGGACAAAAGGAAGTATTTGAAAAACAATGTAAAATAATTATTCCTGGTTAACAAAACAGTTATGTATAATCCAAGACCCACTTTCAGTAGTATAGCATTTTGAACAAAATGAAGGACTTAGCACATTTTTTAGACGATTATCATTATGCATAAACATTAAAACCGAAAGTGAAAAACCACTGATTAGAACTGTCCTTTCAGTATTTACAAGCAAGGTTAGTTTAACTGAGTGAGGAGGAGGAGGAGATGATGAAGTGGCAGGTTGGTGGTGATGCTGCCAGGCTGTAAGAGTTCCCTATCAAATGCAAACACTCAGGAGGGGAAGAGTCATTCAGTCAGTACAGCACAGTCACAAAGGGGGTAAAGGGAGATCGATAACTGGGTTTTCTCTACATATAGCCAGTAACTATGGGGGGAAAATATTAGCCAAAAGTTGCCAAGTACTTCTAACCCATACAAATTCATTTTTAGAAAGACACAGTATTCCTTACTTAAGTGCTCATATATAAGAATATCCTCTAAAAATGGAAAACAAATATACTAAAACTTAGTATATTTCATGATAAAATGTACAAACATCTCTGTTATTTGTTGCTTTATAGTAATATTTCAAATATCCTCATCAAAGACAATTATGAATTCAAGATATTGTCTCAGACTTACCTCCTGCAATTTAGACTGGATCCACTGGCCCAAAAGTGCCAAACTATCTCGAGGACAAATGGCCCAAATCATTGTGAGAAAAATCATACCTAGGAAATCCAATAAATGAACCAAGCTAGCCTTTTCTGCCTGAGAATAATCAAAACAATGAAAGTTGCATTTAATAACTCATAGTACTCACACCTGCTTACATTTTCTAATTCACCACATATAATCACATTAATCACACCTATTTAACTATCTTCCCCAGCTAAGACCCAAAGTTTTTATTCTTTCCCGCTTGGACCTTTCCGTTACCTACTTATACATCATTTATGTATTCAATTGACATTTACTGAGTCACTTACTATTAGACACAATCACAGGCTAACATATTTCTTATACCAACGAGCACAACAATTTTGTAAAATAGGTACAAATTATCACTATTTTATAGAGAATGAAACTGAGATAGAGAAAGGTTAAAAGGGTTGCCCAAGTTCACACAGCTGTTAGTAAAAGGACCAGGAATCAAATTCATGCAGTTTTAGCTCCTAAGAGTCACTGTATCGTTAACAACCAAATAGAGATGTTTAGTATACTTATATTTTTGGATAAAGACTCAACACTCCCTAATATATTAAGCAGTTAAAACAAGGAGCAATTCAGAAAAAGATTAGAAATTTATTTTAAGTAAAATATTTTGATCTTTATGACCTACTATGTGAACTATGATTTATTTGCATAAATCTATAATTTATAAGTCTGGTACTTGTCACCAAGGAATCTTTGGATTTGTTTATACTCATAATCAAAAAAGGTTAAACATGAAATTGCTGTTTTGAGTAGTAATATCAAAATATAAGTTAAACATGCTGTATTGTTCACTGTTTGCCATTAAAGCTGATTAGTTAATGTTGATGTAATGTTGGTTAGAGTACATCCCTCAACAATATCCTCAACCCTTATGGAACACACTGTGTTCCACATTTTAAGAACTGTGTGTTTATAGAATTAAAATTGAAGAGTTCCATTCAAATTGATAAAGTCACCCTAAAAAAGAAAGTCCTTGTTAATGATTATTAAATAATATAATCACAGTATAAAGTCCTAGAAACCTAAAAATAAACAAAACTGTGCAGTTGTGAAATAAAATAACACAAAAGGCTAAATTAAATCAAAATTGAGACTCCCAAAAGAAAAAATATTGTATTGATAATAAAGACCTCTGCCAAAGAAATATAAAAGTATATTTTCTATTAAGGGTGCTATTTATTTTCTATGTCTCATCTAATTATTGTTCTTGCACTGATAGAGATAACAACGAATATGATACAATGAATATGAGGCTCTGAACTAGATGCCTGAAACAAATGTACTGAATATTAACATCCTTCAAATGCCCTGTCATTCTAGACTTTTCCAAAGATGCTCCAAGCAAGCCCATAAGAATGACTGAAAAGAGGAAAACTGATTTACCCACTTAAATAGTAATATCACTTTCCTACAATTAATTTTCTGACTAGATTACAAGTATGTTAATAATTATAGAAAGTTAACTTAATTTGAAATAATAATTAGAGGTTGAAAATACTTACTTTATAGAAAAGAAGCAGGCAATAAAAATGGTATTTTTGAGAAATGCTAATTGTTCAGTTTTTTTAAACTTTTATTTAATGAATATAAATTTCTGAAGTACATAATTGTTCAGTTTCAAATACTACAGACCATAAAAATTCTCAAAACTAGCCAATCACATTTTTTCAAGTTACAGAATAAGGCAATTATTAAAAACTAAAATTCTATCATTAAAAAAAAAAAGGATTCAGTTCTTTGAAAGATTATCTTGCTAACTTCAAAGCAAATTTCACAATGGAACAAGCATTCAGTTCAGGTACTTACAGCATGCCCGAGGACTGCATGTGCTATTTCATGGCCCAGAAGGAAGGAGAGCTGATGAATATCAGTTACACTATTTAAAAGCCCAGTGAAAATAAACACTTGTCCATTCTGCACCATAAAGAAGATAATGTAAGCAATTAGAACAGCATTAAAAAAAAATAGGGTCATTAAATTTAACAATAAAAATGTTTTTGAGAACATTCACTTACTGGAAGCACAAAGGCATTTATATCTGGGGAATCAACCACATGAATAATCCAATTGATCTCAGAGATCCCTGGGATGTCTTTATTGCATTCAATTAGATGATAAACCACTTCTTTAACAGTCAGGTACCGGGCATCCTTCTCAGGCAGCATATCATTTTTAAACTCTTCCATCCACTGAAAGATTAGAAAGTATTCATTATCTTAAATGAGTTTTACCCTGAGAAAATGTTTATACTGCTTCATGGAGAGTTATATGGCTACTTAGTGTTGAATATTTTAATTTTTAATTATGTAAAAATCTGCATATATTAAACACTCAAATTTCTCAAATTTGAATTATTCATGCAAAGTCATGAGGTTTCTCACACAGGAATAAATTCTAACACTAAGATTTTTCATATAAATGTGTTGAAATAAAAGTTTCATTACTCTGTTCTATTAACCAAGAAATGAGTAAAATACTTAAAGATTATTTCTATTGCCCTTAGTATTTTAAAAAATAAAACACTACCTAGAGAACAAAAATTTCACATAAGAAAGTAAAATACAAAAGACAATTACTTTCATAACTCACCAAATAGAAAACCACTCTACATTTAATAAGGAAGTTAAATTTCTACTCAAAAAAGACAATATCTCATTAATTTAATGTGTTTTATTCACTCAGATTGAAAGGAAATTACTGAAATATTGGAGCTAACGGGCATATCATCTTCTCTACGTGATGCTGATTAAAACTAGCCACCATTTGAAGACATTTTTTCTGAAGCTATATTCATGAGAGTTCCTTTCAAGTGTACTGAGAAAAGTAAAGGTGTTCTGAAAACATCAATTTCCATAAAATGCATAAATTCTTTCACACGTGAATCAACAAGTTGGTAACCTTCTTCCTTGAAAGCATTAAATACATGACCTTATAAAATACAAATTAAATTTCTACCAATTCAGATTTTTTAAAGCATATCTCACCAATGAAAATGCCTGAAACCAACAAAAATCCTTCTGAAGTAGATGAAACAAAAATATATATAATACTAGAACTTTATAATATCTTGATGTGTTTGAATTTTTCTATCAAGCAGGTATTACATATTAGCTCAATAAAAAAACTGTACCTATGTGAATATTTACATGTATTTGCATACATATGTACATATATTTTACAAATTTTTTTAGCAATATGAATGGTAGAAAATGCACTAATTTAATACTAGGCCTGCCTCAATCATTCTGCAACATTTTCCACAAACTTGTCTCTGGCCAGACAACATTCTAAGAAACAGATAAAATTTTCTGCATATACTGTAATGTAAGAAAAAATTTTATACTGAAAAATCATTATTATTTTTTATTAATGGTAACCTTCCATTGATAAACTCAGAAGTTCATTTAGAATAAAAAGAAAGATTTAATCACGCCAAACCTGTCAAGTAAGGCTGAGAGGCATCAATTCAAAACTACAATGTGTACTATGCACTGGAGACAAAGGATGACCTGGGGCCTCAAGGAACTCACGACACAAAATATTTAACTGGAATTACTGTACATTCCAAGGAATTAAGACTATTGAATTCCAACTTTATTTTGCATTCAAAAAATATAATAGGGGCAGGCTATTTAACCTTGTGGTTAAGAGGCCCACATCGCATATCAGAGTAGCTAGGTTTCATGCACAGCTTCAGCTCCTGATTCGTTTCCTATAATGCAGATCCTGGCAATGATGGCTCAGGTAATTGGGTTCCTGCCACTCATGTGGGAGACCTGGATTATGTTCCTGGCTCTTGCCTTTGGACCCAGCCCATTCCCAGCCATTTTAGGGCCCATAGATGAGCTAGCTAGCTCACTCACTTGCTCCCTCGCTGTTTTTTCTGCATCTGAAATAAATAAGAAATTTAAAACAAAAGACAGATAATAAATTGCCAAAATTGATGTTTGGAAAAAAGATGTCTAATTCTGACTTTCCTGATATAAAATTGGCTACAGATCTATCTATTCAATAAACATACACTAAGCACTACTTTGCACATTTCACTAGTACTTAAAAATTAAAAAAAAAAAAAAAAAATCCCTGGCCCCATGGAACTTGGCCTAAAAAGAAAGACCAGCAAATTGAGAATATGAAAATAATTATTGTGTACCTTCATGTAAGCATCTTTTTTTTTTTTTTTTTGGACAGGCAGAGTGGACAGTGAGAGAGAGAGAGAGAGAGAGAGAAAGGTCTTCCTTTTCCGTTGGTTCACCCCTCAATTGCCGCTGCGGCCAGCGCACAGTGCTGATCCAAAGCCAGGAGCCAGGTGCTTCTCCTGGTCTCCCATGCAGGTGCAGGGCCCAAGGACTTGGGCCATCCTCCACTGCACTCCCGGCCACAGCAGAGAGCTGGACAGGAAGAGGAGCGACCGGGACAGAATCCGGCGCAGGCAGAGGATTAGCCTATTGAGCTGTGGCACCAGCCCACGTAAGCATCTTGAAGGAAAAGTACAGTATATGGAAATAAAAAACTAAGAGACCTAAGCCTAATACTGTCAAGCACTAGGCCCAACTACAAATGAGTCTGAATGAAGACTACTCCCAGCACGTAATCTAGTCACCCCATCTAACCCATTCTGGAGAATCATAAAGGCTTCCCTGAGAAAGTAACATTTAAGATGACATGTGCTATGGGGCCGGCGCAGTGGCGCAGCGGGTTAAATCCCTGGCCTGAAGCACCAGCATCCCATATGGGAGCCGGTTCTAGTCCTGGTTGCTCCTCTTCCGATCCAGCTCTCTGCTATGGCCTGGGAAGGCAGAAGAAGATGGCCCACATGGTTGGGCCCCTGCACCCACGTGGAAGATCTGGAAGAAACTCCTGGCTTCGGATCGACGCAGCTCCGGCCTTCGCAGCCATCTGGGGAGTGAACCAGCAGATGGAAGACCTCTCTCTCTGTCTCTACCTCTCTCTGTAACTCTTTCAAATAAATAAAATAAATCTTTAAAAAAAAAGAGAGAGAGAGAGATGACACGTACTGAGCAGGAGTTAGCTGCATGAATGAGAGGAAAAGCAATGTAGGCAGTGGGAATACTAGGTGTGAAAGCTTTGAGGTCTTCTGGGGGAAAAAATGCTAATTTCATTACAAAAACTAAAACTGAAAAGCAGTGCATCTTTCGTATTTAAGAAACTGCCATTTTGAGTGTTACAATAAGCAATCTGATTTAAAACAATTCTTTTAACTTACTGCTTCATATTCCAGTTCTGACAAAAGTCTGAAATGCTCTTTCCCCAATAACAGTAGCTTGCTCCTTCCTGTGACTGGACTCACTTCCAGGTGAGTAAAATAAAACACTATGAATAGCAATCCAAAACCACTCAAACCAAGGAATAAATTCCATTTATTCTTCCTTACACTTTCTTTAAATACTTCCTTCTTGTTAGGAGGAAGTGCCTGCCACCATTTCCTTATACCCCTAGAGCAAAAAGAAAAAAAAAATGAAACTCTGATAAGCATGTCCACACGTATTAAACTTATATGCATATGCTAGAATTTCATGTTATCAAACACTTGAATTTTTATGATGCTTACAAAATTAGCTAAATTATGAAAGAGTAATCAATTATACCATTATAATAAAAAATTCTAATGTTCATTTGGATTTTCTTCTTTATCTATTTTAAAGATAAATGCTAAATAACAAATTTTACTACAACTGCCACTAATTAACATTTATTGAGAACAAAACATTTATTGACTATTTGCCACATGCAAAGTACTCTTTTAACTATAACATTTTTATTTCTTAAAGATCCCCTAGCACATGACTAAGGAAAAGGCAGTAAGATCTTAAGCACTGAAAGTCAGCAAACAAAAGATTTTATAGCTAACATCTGAGGAGGTCCAATTTCACCACGTAACAACATTCTACGCTTAGCAACCTTCAAACATTTTAACAAACAATGTTTTCAATACTGGGGCAAAATTTTTCCATGTGAGTTCATCTATAAATCCACAACAAAAAAATAGCATACATTCATCATTCTCCTGACAAAAGTGCTTTTACAAAATAACATTCTGGGGTGGACATTTTGTGCAGCAGGTAAGTTGCCACCTGGGATGCCTGCATCCTGTGTTTGAGTCCCAGTTCTTCTGCTTCTGGTCCAGATTCCTGATAGTGCACACCCTGGGAGGCAGCAGATGATGGCTAAAGTACTTGGGTCCCTGCCACCCACATCAGACACCCAGACTGAGTTTCAGCCTCCGGCTGCAGCCTGGCCCAGCCATGAGTGTTGCAGGCATTTGGGGAGTGAACCAGCAGATGGAAGATCTCTCTCAATCTCCCTTTCTCTTTCTGTGTGTGTGTGTGTGTGTCTCCCCTTATGCCTTTCAAATAAAAACAATTAAATAAAAATTAAAAAATAAATAACTCCCTGAAGTTATTGTAATTCTGTTAAAATACTTTTGTTAGGTAACATACCTTAAATGCTTTTGACAGTGTTTGAACCAGAAGGAAAATAAGCCAAAGTATGAAGTATAGTTCTTCCCTATTTAAAACTTGTTTAAAATATAGGCAAAACACACACTAAAAGGAAACTTTAGGTGACTGAAATAGTAACCAAGAGTTAAAAATAAGTTAATTTGGAGCCAGTGCTGTGGTGTAGTAAGTTAAATATCCACCTGCAGAGTTGGCATCCCATATGGGCACCAGTTAGAGTCCCGGCTGCTCCATTTCTGTTCCTGCTCCCTGCTAATGCACTCAGGAAAGCAGCAGAAGATAGCCCAAGTGCATGGGCCCCTGAATCCATGTAGGAGACTGGGAATAAGCTCCTGGCTCCTGGTTTTGGATCAGCCCAGTTCCTGCCATTGCGGCCATTTGGAGTTAATCAGTGAATGGAAGCCCTCTCTCTCTCTGCCTCTCCCTCTGTAACTCTGCCTCTCAAATAAATCTTGGCTGGCGCCATGGCTCACTAGGCTAATCCTCCACCTGCAGCACCAGTACTCCAGGTTCTAGTCCCAGTTGGGGCGCCGGTTCTGTCCTGGTTGCTCCTCTTCCAGTCCAGCTCTCTGCTGTGGCCCAGGAAGGCAGTGGAGGATGGCCCAAGTGCTTGGGCCCTGCACCTGCATGGGAGACCAAGAGGAAGCACTTGGCTCCTGGTTTCAGTTTGGTGCAGCACGCCGGCCATGGAGGCCATTTGGGGGATGAACCAACGGAAGGAAGACTTTTCTCTCTGTCTCTCTCACTGTCTAACTCTGTCAAAAAATAAATAAGTAAATCTTTTTAAAAAAAGAACATTAAAAAAATAAATTGAAAGGATGAGAACACTTTAGAAACAGAAAGAGCCAGTAGCCCAAGAACGTAGGATCAGTTTGTACTTAATATGACAGCCACAGTAGCTGTAATGCTTTCTCAGTGCCAACACCAGATAATAAAGAACACAGTAAATTTCAGAATAGAAGTTCTCAGGCCAGCGCTGTGGCTCACTTGGCTAATACTCCGCCTGTGGTGCCGGCATCCCATATAGATGCCAGATTCTGTCCCGGTTGCCCCTCTTCCAGTCCAGCTCTCTGCTGTGACCCGGGAGTGCAGTGGAGGATGGCCCAAGTGCTTGGGCCCTGCACCCCACGGGAGACCAGGAGGAAGCACCTCACTCCTGGCTTCGGATCGGTGCAGTGCCGGCCGTAGCAGCCATCTGGGGAGTGAACCAGCGGAAGGAAGACCTTTCTCTCTGTCACTCTCTCTCTCACTGTCTAGAACTCTACTTGTCAAATAATTAAAAAAAAAAAATAGAAGTTCTCAATTTTGATACCATGTAAATTGGACTGGTTGGTATAGAAGTAAGAAGACTGAGAGGAATTCCATAGTACCCAAACTTTAAGCTACATTAAAGGAACACCTTGACAGTAGGGACTTCATTTTAAAGCACCTGAGACTCCACCTTGAGAAAGCACACCCCATTGTGCGATTATGATCTGAAACTAACTATGGTCTAAAACTCAGACAGTAACAGTACGCTGCATCCTACTTGGCAGAGCACAGAAACTCTCTAGCATGATCACGTATGCTTAAAACAAATAGGCTGCACCTGGACTAATGTTAAGATTGTAATTTGTCTATGTCCCACATGATTTAGGTCAATACCTAATGTCAAAATTGTAATTGGTACTGTCAAGATTGAAGTAATATTAGTTTCACATAGGCCTTAGCTCAGCTTCACCCTAGTACCATATATTCTTCCTCCCCTCCTTGTGGTTTTCTGCCCTTATGAACCCTGTTGCTTTGAGCTTCAGGGTCGAGAATTCTTTAGGGCATGAGCCCACTCTCCACCACCAGAAACAATGGACAGTACAATTTTATCAATGTGTGGTGCTCCTATGTTGTGCTCAGGCACGTCATGAAGACAAAATGATTAGCTTTCTGCAATCTTCATGAAACAAGTCATGGGGAAAATGAAAACACTATTTAGTTGTAAAGATGTGAATTATTATACAGAAATAATAAGAGAAAAATAACAAGATTTGTTAGAAATTGAACAAAAATTGATAAATATTAATGGTTTGAGAGTTCACTTGACTAAGATCAAACCCAGTCTTACAAAAGCAAAGTTTCTCAGGTTAATGATTTGCTACCTTAGATTCCACAAATTAAAAAGGAGTAACACCTGATTTTCCTTGCGATCATAAATATAAGACCTTTTAAAAAATGTTCATGTAATATGTAAGAGAAAATTTTAAAAGACCACATTTTTAAATCATAAATTAACACACAGCAAATTGTTTCAAGATTATAAATCATACACAACAAAACTAGGCAAGGTCCACCATTTAGAAACTTAATTGTGAACTAAATATGGCAGAAGAGGGCCTAGCAAAGTTTCTTCAAAACTGCAGTTTTGGGGCCGGCGCTGTGGCACAGTGGGTTAAAGACCTGGCCTGAAGTGCCGGCATCCCATATGGGCACCAGTTCTAGTCCCAGCTGCTCCTCTTCCGATCCAGCTCTCTGCTATGGCCTGGGAAAGCAGTAGAAGATGGCCCAAGTTCTTGGGCCCCTGCACCCACATGGGAGACCCAGAAGAAGCTCCTGGCTTCTGGCTTAGGATCAGCGCAGCTCTGGCTGTTGCTGCCATCTGAGGAATGAACCAGTGGATGGAAGACCTCTCTCTCTTTCTCTACCTCTCTCTGTAACTCTTTCAAATAAATTTTAAAAAGTCTTTAAAAAAACCCTGCAGTTTTACAAATAGAAAAGTTTAATTTTTAAAAGTCAATACAATTTAGGCCGGCGCCGCGGCTCACTAGGCTAATCCTCCACCTAGCAGCACCGGCACACCGGGTTCTAGTCCCGGTCGGGGCGCCGGATTCTGTCCTGGTTGCCCCTCTTCCAGGCCAGCTCTCTGCTGTGGTCCGGGAGTGCAGTGGAGGATGGCCCAGGTGCTTGGGCCCTGCACCCCATGGGAGACCAGGAGAAGCACCTGGCTCCTGCCTTCGGATCAGCGCGGTGTGCCGGCCGCAGCGTGCCAGCCATGGTGGCCATTGGAGGGTGAACCAACGGCAAAAGGAAGACCTTTCTCTCTGTCTCTCTCTCTCTCTCTCTCTCTCTCACTATCCACTCTGCCTGTCCAAAAAAAAAAAAAAAAAAAAGTCAACACAATTTAATTCAAAATGTTCATATAAAAGCTAATAAAAGTTAATTGCTTTTTAGTTTTTTTAAGTATTTTACCTGCCTACAATGATTGCGAGGAGCTTCTGCACTGGCTTAAGAATGACCAACAAGAGGGGAACCGGAGCAGCCTGGAGCCGTGCAGAAGTGTGGAAAGTCCTGACAGCTCTTAGTGGGAAACAGCTGAGAGCATGTGATTCCAAAAGGGCAGGAACTGCTGTAACTTCTTTCATCAGTACCCGTCTTGAAAGGGACTCATTCCACGCAGTACATTTGTGGGCAACCATCCAAATTTCCTTATTTTTGGTACTAGAGAGGCATCTTGTTCTTGTGTTATTTAAAGTACTAAGAAAAGATAAGTTTCCAGGCACAAAAGTCAACTTATCACATTGATTTACTGATGCAAGTCTCTGATATTTATTTACTATGTGGTGAATCTGAACTTGATGACAGCCTGGTAAGGTTACTGCTAGTGAGTTACATTTTCTCCAGTTGGCCAGTGAATTAAATTGGAAGAAAATACAGTTTCTAGTAGCAGACTGTAGTCCATGGAAGAAGCTCATCTTTGTTTTGCTTGATTATCTGCAACACAAAAATAAAATGTGAGTATCTATGGAAAGTATTTACTTACCAAACTGAAAATGTAGTATTTAAGTAAAGGTGTTGGCTCTTCTTTCTTTAACACATCTCATAGTAAATAATCTTGGGTTTCTACCCATGGCTATATCAATGCCTTTTGGCAATGCAACTCAAATGAGTATATTTAACACTACATTTACTGTACAGTGTGTACTTTAGAAACTTAAATTTTTTTCTTTTTTCTTTTTAGTTGGACAGGAGTCTATTTTTTTTACTTTAACAGCAAATTATTTGGGGGATAATAAATGGATCATATCAAAAATAACAGTAAAATTTATTACTGTTGGCAGAAGTAGAGGGGAAGAAGGCTGTAATAAAATATTAAAATCTAGCTTATAAAATATATTTTACTGCAAATTTATTTCTCTCAAATATAAGCCTGTGACTTTTGATTGGAGTCAAGATGGAGTTAGAGGAACCAGATTTACTTTCCCAACTAAAACAACTTAAAAAAATTGGCCAGCACTGCAGCTCAATAGGCTAATCCTCCGCCTGTGGCGCCGGCACACCAGGTTCTAGTCCTGGTCAGGGCGCCGGATTCTGTCCCGGTTGCTCCTCTTCCAGTCCAGCTCTCTGCTGTGGCCCGGGAGTGCAGTGGAGGATGGCCCTGCACCCCATGGGAGACCAGGAGAAGCACCTGGCTCCTAGCTTCAGATCAGCACAGTGCACCGGCCACAGTGTGCCAGCCGCAGCAGCCATTGGAGGGTGAACCAACGGCAAAAGGAAGACCTTTCTCTCTGTCTCTCTCTCACTGTCCACTCTGCCTGTCAATAAATAAATAAATAAATATATATATATATAAAACAATGGTTTCAATGCATTGGACAAGGCAATGCAAAGACTAACTAGGTGATGGGAACTGTACCTGTTTACAATCTGGAGTGCCCAGGTCACAGTGCAGACCTCACTGGTCCCTGGAATTGAAAAGATGATGCTGAGAGTGCCAGCAGACCAAGAGAGCTAGAGCTCTCAAGACAGAGACAAGAAAAATCAGAGAGGGCCAGCGCTGTAGCATAGTAGGCTAAGCCTCCACCTGCGGTGCTGGCCAGCATCCCATATGGGCGCTGGTACGTGTCCCAGCTGTTCCTCTTCTGAGCCTGCTCTCTGCTGTGGCCTGGGAAAGCAATGGAAGATGGCTCAAATGCTTGGGCCCCTGCACCCACGTGGGAGACCAGAGGAAGCTCTTGGCTGCTGGTTTTGGATCAGCCCAGCTCGGGCCATTGCGGCCATTTGGGGAGTGGACCAGTGAATGGAGGACCTTTCTCTCTGTTTCTCCCCCTCTCTGACTGTAGATCTACCTATCAAATAAATAAATAAGAAGAGAAATCAGAGCTGTGGAGACAGCCCCCTCTTCAAGTTCAGCTGAGTCCCATCAGGGACTATGTGTAAGAAAACCCCAGATCTGGGGAAGAACGATCTGTAAAGATTGTGGGGCTCAAGAAGGGCAAGATGTAGTGCCTGTTCCCATTCATCAAGATGGAAAAACTTTTAATTTATGGCACGGGGTAGGGGACTCAGGAGAGTTTGCCCTTAGTGTTGAGAAAACTGAATGCTGCTCTGGCCACAACCCATAAAGATTAAGAGCAATTCATAAAAATATCAAACTATTTCTAAGTCACAACCTCATCCCAGAAAAACAAAAGTTCAAGACCTTTCTTTTCTAAGAGGGGTTATAAGAACACAAAAATACCCAGCACCTAACGAGGTACAGTTTACAATTTAAAAATCACCAAGCATGCAAGAAGTAGGATGTGTGATCTGTAATTGGGAGAGATACCAATCTATGTAAACTAATGCCTAAATAACACAAATGACAGCATTAATAGACAAAGATGTAAAGTAGTCATTATAACTATATTCTAAAGGAAAATGTGATCGTGTTATGTAAAGACATGGAATACATTTCCTTAAAAGGACCTACATTTAACTTTCAAAACAATAAAATTATGTCTGAGACTTAAAAATGCAGTGGATGAAACAAATACAAGATCAGATATTGTGGAAATATATACTTCAGAACTTTAAGGCTTATCAATAGAACAATCTAAAATGAAATACTGAAAGGAAACAGACTGGAAAAATGCACAGAGTATTATTAAGTGCAGGAGAACTTCAAGTAGCTTTAATGTCCTTATAACTAAAGTTCCCTAAAAGGGGGAGAAGTGGTAGCAGAAAAAAACATTTGAAGAAAGAATGGCTCAAATGTTTCCAAACCTGATAAAAATCATAAAACCTGGGGCCAGCGCTGTGGCTCACTTGGTTAATCCTCTGCCTGTGGCGCCGGCATCCCATATGGCTGCCGGGTTCTAGTCCCGGTTGCTCCTCTTCCAGGCCAGCTTTCTGCTGTGGTCAGGGAGGGCAGTGGAGGATGGCCCAAGTGTTTGGGCCCCTGCACCCACGTGGGAGACCAGGAAGAAGCACCTGGCTCCTGGCTTCGGATCAGCACAGCGCCAACCGTAGCAGCCATTTGGGGAGTGAACCAATGGAAGGAAGACCTTTCTCTCTGTCTCCCTCACTACCTATAACTCTACCTGTCAAATAAAAAAAAATAAATAAAATAAAAGCACAAATCCAAAAAGTTTAATGAAGCCCATATACAAGAAATACAAAGGAAACAGGTCCAAAGCACATCACAATTTCTTAAAACCAGCAAGAGAAAAATCTCAGACTTGATATCTTTTTTTAAGTTTCATGTATGTATGTATGTATGTATGCATTTGAGAGGGAGAGAGAGAGAGAGAAAGACCTTCCATTTGCTGGTTCATTCTGCAAATGGCCACAATAGCCAGGACACAGTCAAACCGAAATCAAGAACCAGGGACTTCATCCTGGTCTCCCACGAGGGTGACAGGGTCCCAAATACTTGGGCTATCTTCCACTGCCTTCCTATGTGCCTGAGCAGGAAGATGGATCAGACAAATAGCCACGATGTGAACCAGTACCCCGATATGCAATGCCAGAGGAGACCCAAGTGATAGCTTAACCCACTGAACCACAGATTCAACTTCTTAGATGAAACAATTCCTTGAAACACAAACTACTATAGCTCACTCAAGAAATAATCCGAAGAGTCCTATAACAATTTTTAATTGAAGTTGTAGATTATAAAAAAAAAAAAAAAAAAAACTCCAAAAACAAAGATTTAGGCCCAAATAGCTTCCCTGGTGAATTCTACTAAACATTTAAAGAGGGAATAATAGGCCGGCGCTGCGGCTCACTAGGCTAATCCTCCGCCTAGCGGCGCCGGCACACCGGGTTCTAGTCCCGGTTGGGGCGCCGGATTCTGTCCCGGTTGCCCCTCTTCCAGGCCAGCTCTCTACTGTGGCCAGGGAGTGCAGTGGAGGATGGTCCAGGTGCTTGGGCCCTGCACCCCATGGGAGACCAGGAAAAGCACCTGGCTCCTGGCTCCTGCCATCAGATCAGCGCGGTGCGCCGGCCGCAGCGTGCCGGCCGCAGCGGCCATTGGAGGGTGAACCAACGGCAAAGGAAGACCTTTCTCTCTGTCTCTCTCTCTCACTGTCCACTCTGCCTGTCAAAAAAAAAAAAAAAAAGAGGGAATAATAATAATTCTATGTTTAAGAAACTCTTTCAGAGATCTCCGCAAGTGAGATCCCAGTGGAAAGAACAGGTCATCAAAGAAGGAGGTACCTTTCTCTGAAGGGAGGAGAGAACTTCCACTTTGACTACGACCTTGTCTAAATATGATCAGAGTCGGTGAACTCAAAAGGCTTCCATAGCCTTGGCAACTCATGACAAGAGCCTGGGGTGATTACTCATGCCATAAACAAGAGTGTCAATTTGTTAAGTCAACAACAGAAGTCACTTACTCCTCATGTAGGATCTCTGTCCTTAATGTGCTATAACTAGTACTCAAACAGTATTTTTCACTTTGTGTTTCTATGTGGGTGCAAACTGTTGAAATCTTTACTTAATGTATGCTAAACTGATCTTCTGTATATAAAGAGAATTGAAAATGAATCTTGATATGAATGGAAGGGGAGAGGGAGCGGGAAAGGGGAGGGTTGCGGGTGGGAGGGAAGTTATGGGGGGGGGGAAGACATTGTAATCCATAAGTTGTACTTTGGAAATTTATATTCATTAAATAAAGTTAAAAAAAAAAAAGAAACTCAGGAAATTAAACAGGACAGAATAGTTTGCAGCTCATTCAGTAAGACTAGCATTGCCCTAATACTGAACAGAAAATTACAAGAAAACTATAATGTAATATCCCTCATGAACCTATCTACAAAAATTATTTTTTTATTTTGACAGATAGAGTTAGACAGTGAGAGAGAGAGAGACAGAGAGAAAGGTCTTCCTTCCATTGGTTCAGCCCCTAAATGGCTGCTATGGCCGCCACTGCACTGATCTGAAGCCAGGAGCCAGGTGGAAGATTAGCCAAGTGAGCCACGGCACCGGCCCCTACAAAAATTCTTAACAAATTCTTAGAAAATCTAGCTCAAAATATAAAATGGATAATACCTCATCACCAAGTGAGGCTCATCCCAGGAATGCAAGATTTTTTCAACACTTGTAAGTCAAAAGAATTCACCTTATTAACAGACTGTAAAAGAAATAGTATATGATCATCCCAATAGACACAAAAAACATATTTGATAAAACTAAATATTCACCACTGATTAAAAAACAAAACAGGGGCCAGTGCTGTAGTGTAGCAAGTAAAGCCACCTCCTGCAGTGCTGGCATCCCATATGGGTGCCAGTTCAAGTCCTGGCCGCTCCACTTCTGATCCGGCTCTCTGCTATGTCCTGGGAAAGCAGTAGAAGATGGCTCAAGTCCTTGGGCCCCTGCACCCTTGTGGGAGACCCAGAAGAAGCTCTTAGCTCCTGGCTTCAGATCAGCACAGCTCTGGCCATTGCAGCCAACTGGGAAGCCAAGCAGCAGATGGAAGACCCCTCTCTGTCTCTCTCTGCCTCTGCTTC